ACCACGTGAGAACTACAAGAAAAACATGTTTACCTCATGGATATAATCAAAAAGCTTTGTGATCAAATGAGTGAAATTTTTTATCTGAGTCTGTTTTGTGTATTTAATAATTCTAGTTAAATTTGTTTGAAATACAACATGGAGGTATGGTTTCTTTAAAAACTGATTATGTAAGAAACATTTGTTTTAATGGGCACTTGGACTTGTAAAAATGCCTGGTATGGGAAGTTATTGAAATGCTTTTCAGCTGATTAAAATGTTATTTTTAATTTTTTATTTTACTTTTTGAAACATGTACATGGTAATAACTCCAGACAGTACCGAAGGCAACAGATGGTGAGGAATAACTCTCTCACCCTTCAGACCCTAGTGGGTCAGTGTTCTTCATCTAGAGGCAATCACTGTGTCTTAAATACACAGGATATCCTTGAGTATCCTTGCAGGATGTTTTATGCATATTCAAGTCTAGAGTCTAGGAGTGTGTAGAACCTTTAACACAATTGTTGCTAGGCTGCATTTTTCATTTAACACTTTGCTTTAGAGATGTTCCATTGATAAGGAACATTGGAGTCTTAGCATTGGGGTCTGCTTATTATTTTAAATTGAAAACATAGTGTGATATTATGGTTTATAATAGGAAATATGTATGTTTAGTCTTAGTCTCTATTTCTAGCACAGAAAAAACCTTGACATTTCCTAGGAGGAAAGCCGTGGTGCCTTATGTTAATGAGATTTTTGGAAAGGCTCTAAGTGTGGGGTCCTGGCCTATGGAGCCAACCACATGATGGGAACTTTTAGTCTCACCCTCTAATCTCTGAGGAGAGAAGGGCTAGAAATTGAGTTCAGTTGCCAGCAGTCAATGGGAGCTCATAAAAACCCACAAGGTGAGGGGTTCAGAGAGTTTCCAGGCTGGTGAGCCAGAAATGCTTACACGTGCCACTGGGCCAGGCCCCAGACTCTGAGGACGGAAGATCCTTTGTTTAGGATCTTGTCCTGTGTTTCTCTTCAAATGACTGTTTTAATTCCTGTCCTCCAGTATCTTGTGTAATAAACTGGTAATCTAGTTAATAAACTGCTTTTCTAAGTCCTATCAGCTGCTCCAGCAGTTAATCACAGCCAAGGAGGTCAGGGGAACCTGGATTTGTAGCCAGTCAGAGGTCTGATAGCAACCTGAACTTGCTGTTGACCTCTGTGGTGGGGCGGGGACCCCCTCTTGTAGGACTGAGTCCTTAACCTGTGGCATCTGATGCTGTCCCCTGGCGGGTAGTGTCAGAATTGTGTTGAGTTGTAGGACAGCTAGCTGGTGTTGGAGCATTGTGTGGATGTGTGGGGAAAACCCCATACACTTCGGAATTGGACATAGTATTTCATTCCACGGATATACGGCTCCAAGACTCTCATCTAAAAATGTTCATAACTGGTAGTTGATAAGCTAATCAAAGTCTGGCAGAAGGAAGCATTTTAAATGATCTTTAATCATTTTACTGTAATAATGTGTAATATTCCAGCCAGTTTTTAAAAAATTGGGGCAAGGTTGACAACGTGGAGTCCACTAACAGGAGTTGTGTTCCTTTCCTTGCACAGACCATTGCCCCAGGGTATTAGCTCTAATTCCCGGTTTGGGGTTTCTTTAGGTGATGTAAGAATTGAGATACCAAAGAATCAAGCTCTGCATATGTTAACTGCTTTAGTGTATCAGCTGTCTTGGCTGCACCCAGTTCAACAGTACTTTTTTTGGTAGCTTGCCTGTATTGAGTCTTTATATGGTATTTCACCTAGTGATCATACAAACAGTTTGCTTTTTCTTCACTCTTGTTTCACCAGTTTAAATAATATTTAAATAAATCACATGTATGATTGCAGGTCCAGTTGGTGCAAGCAGTTGTGTTAGCAAACCTATCTTACCCTTGGTACTCATACACCCAATGATAGGAATGAGCATGCAGGGTCTTGGTTGTGGTGGTCTGATACTCAAAACACATGCTGTGCCAACGTCACCGTTAGTTTCACTCAGGAAACAGAACGTGGACTAACGTGAGTCAGTTAAATGAAGGTTGGTTAGGAACTGCTTGTGCTTCATACATTTTTAATAACCATTTCCTTGTTGATGGGCATTTAAGTTCTTTTCAGCATTTTGCTTCCAACTATGGAGCTGAAATGACTGAACTGATGGTCAATAAATATACTTAAAGTTTTTCTCACACATAGCAGTATCTTTTGGAGAAGGAAATGGCAACCCTCTCCAGTATTCTTGCCTGGGGAATCCCAGGGACGACGGAGCCTGGTGGGCTGCTGTCCATGGGGTCGCACAGAGTCGGACACAACTGAAGCAACTTAGCAGCAGCAGCAGCACTTAGCAGCAATATCTTTATCTAAAAAAAGAAAAATATCCTTGAAGTGAAATTCAGTGTGTGTAAGAGTATAGTAATTTTTTCATTCTAATAAATTTTGTTAAAAAGAACTTCAGTGTTTTATTGTATCATTTTCAGTATTTAATTGCAGCTAAATATGATGGGTAAAATTTTTTTCTTTTAAAATTAATCAACTTGTCCCTTAGTTTTTCCTCTCTGCAGATCCAAGGGAAAAAACGTTCACAGTCATAAAATACTTTAATAGGATTCAAGGCATTGAGTCATAGAATTCCAGACATCTCTCACTCATAAATGTGAGTGTGTGTGTGTGCTGTGAGTGCTGTGTATGTGGTTTATACTGTGGAGGAGATGTTTTCCTCAGTTTGAGTGGGTTTAATCATATTTAAATACCATAGGGTAGAGAAGGAAATGGCAGATCACTCCAGTATTCTTGCCTGGAGAATCCCCATGGACAGAGGAGTCTGGCAGGTTACAATCCATGGGGTCTCGAGAGTTGTACATGACTTAGCGACTAAACCACTGACCACGAAATACCATAGGGAAGTTTGATGTGTTAGTGACTAACACTGAAAAGCTTTCAGCCAAGGATCCTTTTATTAAAGTGACTAAGTTTAGGACTCAGCTTTGAATAAAGCCTTATATTTTAGTGGTTCTGTGTTAGCTTTCTCAATGACTATTTGTCCCATAATTTCTATGCAAACCATTTGTTTAATGGGGTATGTATTGGAATAAAAAATATGATCTTGTGGAAATTAACTGGGCTTTAGACAGACAAGACCTCTTAGCTTATTAAAAAAACAGTAGCAACCGCTGTATCAATCTCCTTTACTATTTTAAGGACACAAATATATTAACATTATATGAAGAAATATATATGGAGCGAGTTATAATTATGTATTATACACATTTTCTAATAATTTTATATAAATGCATCTAAAGCTTTTTAGAACTGCCTGTGAATATTTTTAACCCCGTTTTTTCCCCTAGTTTATTCCCATTGGCCTAACAATCTTTTCTTAGTATAATTGGAGTATTGCCACACTGGAAAATTTTTGTGATGTGAAATTTTTCATTTTTTAAGTCTTGAAAGTTGCAATATTATCTATCATAGGAGAGCCCCCCAAAATACCCATTTTATAATTTCTGTTTATTTATTTGCTTACTTATTCGTGGCTGCACTGGGTCTTTGTTGCTGCCACGTGGGTTTTCTCTAGTTGCAGTGAGTGGCAGCTGCACTCTTAACTGCGGTGCATGGGCTTCCGCGCTGCTGTGGCTTCTCTTCTTGTGGGGCACAGGCTCAGGAGTTGTGGCACACAGGCTTCGTGCCCCTTGGCATGTGGAATCTTCCCAGACCAGGGATCAAACCCATGTCCCCTGCACTGGCAGGCAGACTTCCAACCCATGAACCACCAGGGACGTCCACGATACCTATGTAATTTTATTTCTCTTAATCGTCCAGAAGTCAGTGGTTGAATTGTGTGTTTTGGGGGCAGCTTTGTTCTACAAGATCATTCAGTATGTTTTCCTTAAGTCTTGTCGGATATTAGCCTACCCCTGCATGGTCAAAGCGGGCAGAGTTCCACGCATGCTGTCCCAGTGAGGGAGGTGGGAAGTGTTGGTCTTTTCTCTGGAGTAGTTTGTCTTCTAGGCTGAAGGTGTCGAAACTGTGCTGTTCATTCCTCTGGCACATGATCGGTCCACACTAGGTAACAATGCTTCAAGGCATGCTAGGAGTCTGTCCTCTTGCTGGGTGGGTCAATAACCAGGTAAAACTTTATTCCTCTGGACAAAGAGGGAAATGGGTAATGGAAAAAACCTTAATAATCTGGCTCAAAAACCAGTATCTAAAAATTTGGTTGTAAATTTCAAAATAAATATTTGTAAATGAATAGCTTTCTCAGATGCCATGACTTCAGCAACACTGTTGTAACTTTAGATGAGGTATACTTTGAACTGAGTCTCTTAAGTGTGACATTAAGACCTTGCTTCTCACACTGGGGGACGTTATTGTTTGAGGCAAGAAGTACACACAGCCGTGCACTTAGACGCAGCTTCCATTTCTAGAGGAAGGTTTGGAAGACTTGTGTGTAGGGTGGGAATATATTTTAGAGCCAGAACTGAAATTGGCAGGAATTTTAAGAAAAACCTTAAGATTATTTTAAGAGATAATTTCAGATCCCCAGGGATGTTTTCTACTTTTGCCAATGTAGTTTTATGGAAACATTTTGATAAGCAACCTTTTTGGTTTGTTAGGGTTTGTTTTGTAAACTGTGTCAAATTGTGGAAATATAATTTGGGGAAGGCGGGCAAGTAGTATGAAGTAAAGGAAATTTTCCTGTAAATATAAGCAATATAGTCATCTTTACTCAAAGAAAGTCTAAGAACCTATTGCTTTGTCATCTTATATTTATATTTTATTCTTTGCTGTATTTTATACTATTATTTTAAGGCCAAAATATATTTTTTAGACTTTTCTTCTCCTAGCAAAGAAATACTCTGTTAATGGGACTTGCGTACTAGAGTTGTGGAAGTAGTAAGCTATAGTTTATAGTGGGTTTTCTTCATTTAAAGTATATTAAAATTAACTTTATATTAAAATTTATGTTCCACCTTTCCTTCTTATCACAGGACAATGAAAAGAGAACTCCACTGCATGCTGCTGCCTATCTTGGAGATGCAGAAATCATTGAATTGCTTATTTTATCTGGTATGGTCAGCTCTTTGTAAGAGCACATCATGTATATTTTTGTCATTAATATTTATTAAACCTCACTATTTCTTCATATTTGTTAGACAACCTGAAACTTATTTGTTTTTTCTAGAAGTAATGATCTCATAACCTGTCCCAGGTACTCTTCTGGTACTTAGAGTACATTGGAAAAGAAGTCACCTCCTTTGTGGAGCATATAACTCTAAAGAAAAACAGGCTACAAATACAAGTAAATTTTATAGTATGTAAAATAAGGAGTTAAATGCTATGGAAAAATGAAAAAAATAGATCAGAATGCAGTCAGCCCTCTGTATTCACGAGTTGTGTATTCATGTATTGAACCAACCACAGGTCAAAAATAGATTGAAAATATTCCAGAGTGTTCCAGAGGGAAAATTTGAATTTGCCATTCAGTGGCAGCTATTTACATAGCATTGTATTCTATTTACTGCTATTTATATAGTGTATTAGGTATTATAAGTAATCTAGAGAGAATTTAAAATATTCAGAAGAATATGTATCGGTTATATGCAGATACTATGACATTTTATATAAGAACTTTGAGCATCTGTGAATTTTGATATCCACAAGAAGTCTTCCAACCAGTTCCCTGCGAATGATGAGGAACAGCTATAATGGAGTGGGATAAGCATTATATAGGGTTGGGTGTTACACGAAGTAGTCATACAAGGCCTCATTGACCACAGAATTACTAGAAGATGATTACAGTTCTCCAAGGAGGAGGTGATGGTAGCTTGGAGCTAGTATAGCATTGGAGGGATAAGAAATTACATGATAGTAGGTATATTTTGAAAATGATGGCAAAATAAATAAATAAATAAATAAAAACAAAAACAATATTGTAACAAACTCAATAAAGACTTTAAAAATGGTCAAAAAAAAAAAAAAGAAAATGATGGCAGCAAGATTTATGTCTTTAAATAGCATGTATCTAATTCTTTTTGAAGGCCTGTAAAATTTATTTTAGGAAATTGCACTTTATTTTTAACTTTCTTCTAAACTGTTCAAAACCTTATATAATGAAGAAATGGTATGACAGTCTCCTATAAAATAGTTTCTATGGTGGTCAGACTTCTTGCCAACCTAAAATAGGCGATCACAGAGAGCTTGGAAATATTTCTGTAGTACCAAGATTATTCTTCAATAATCCGATATTTATTGAGAAAGGATGCTTATGTTCAAATTCAGCCTGTGTTTTCAGATTGCACAGAGATATGCATAAAGCAGTTGGAGAGATAGTATCATTCCTTTGATATTTGGGAGAAGGAGCACTGAATAGAAATCCTGAGTGAAAATCCTACTAAATAGTAGCCTGAACAGAATTTTTGCCATTATAAATTAATAAATTTTTTTACTGTGGTTTTTATAACAAGTTGCATGAGTGTATAGAGTTATATTAGGTTGGTGCAAACATAATGGTGGTTTCAGACCATGAATTTTAAATCATTACAACTAGGCTCAAACATATCTTTATTAATCAAAATATGAACCATTATAATCACATTTTTGCCGATGAGAAATAAGTTTGTGTATTCCTATAGCATAAAAATCTGTGCTTCGGGATTTGACAAACTCTTGGAAAGCATTTTCTACTTCCAGCTGGTTGTGGAAGCGTTTTCCCTGCAAAAAGTTGTTGCGATGCTTCAGGAAGTGGTAGTCAGTTGGCAGGAGGTGTCAGGTGAATATGGCAGATGTGGCAGGACTTTTTAGCCCAGTTCAACCTGTGAAGTGTTGGTTGTGCAACAGGCGGTCAGGCGTTGTCGTGGAAAAGAATGCAGGTGTTTCAGTTTCCAGTGCATCTCATTGATTTGTTGAGCAGACTTTGCAGATGTAATGGTTTTGTCAGGATTCAGAAAGCTGTAGTGGATGGGCAACAGACAACCAGTGACCATGACCTTTTTTGGTGCAGATTTGGCTTTGGGAAGTGCTTTGGAGCTTCTTGGTCCAACTGTGAACACTGGTTTTCATCATTTAAAATGCACTTTTTGTTGCACATCACAGTCTGATCGAGAGATGGCTCGTTGTTGCATAGAGTAAGAGAAGACGACACTTCAAAATGACAATTTTTTTAATTTTTGGTCAGCGCATGAGGCACCTGTTTATTGAGCTTTCTCACCTTTCCAGTTTGCCTCACGTGTCGAATAACCATAAAACGGTCAACACTATTGTAGTGGTTTTTGTCATACATTGACATGAATCAGCCATGCTATGCTATCTGAAACACATCCTATTTGTAATAAAATATGGACTACTAAAAAAAAAAGGTCAACACTGAGTTCTTTGGTAATGCCTTGTGTAGTTTTAAGAGGATCAGAGCTGTGGTAATCAAAACAGCATAGTATTGGCATAAAAGGAGGCACATTGATCAGTGGAAGAAAAAGAGAGCCCAAAAATAAACTTGTGCATATCATGGTCAGTTAATTTATGACAAAGGAGGCAAGGAAAATTAATGGGGAAAGGACCATCTCTTCAGTAAATGGTTTTGGGAAAACTGGACAACTGTCTTACACAAGAAAGACTTGAGCATAAGAATCATACTTGTAGAACTCATACTCGTAGAAGAATACATAGATGGTAAGACCTGATCCTTGGTGTCAGTCTTGGTGATGATATTTTAGATTTGACACCAAAAGCAAAGGAAACAAAAGCAGATGTTACAAGTGAGACTACATCAAACTACAAAGTTTCTGCATAGGCAAAGGAAACCAACAAGATGAAAAGGCAACCTACAGAGTAGGTGAAAGTAATTTGCCAATCACAACTCACTCCAGTATTCTTGTCAGGAAAATCCCGTGGACAGTCCATGGGGTCACAAAGAGTTGGATACCACTGAGCAACTGAACACACACACACAATTTGCAAGTCCTATAATAAAGGATTAATATCTAAAATATGTAAAGTGAAGTCACTCAGTCGTGTCCGACTCTTTGCGACCCCATGGTCTGTAGCAGCCTACCACATTGCTCCGTCCATGGGATTCTCCAGGCAAGAGTACTGGAGTGGGCTGCCATTTCCTTCTCCAGATGATCTTCCCGACCCAGGGATCAAACCCGGGTCTCCCTCATTGTAGGCAGACGCTTTACCATCTGAGCCACTAAAGAGATCATACAATTCAATGGCAAAAAGCAGACAAACCAATCTGGTTAAAAGTCAAGCAGAGGAACTGGAGACACATTTTTCCAAAGACGAAAGAGATATGACTAATAGGTACATGAAATAGTGCTCAACATCACTAATCATCAAGGAAGTGCAAAGCAAAACTATAATGAGATACCTCCTCACACTTTTTAAATGGCTTCCTTTAAAAAAAACACAAACAATAACAAGTATTGGTAAGGATGTGGAGAAAAGGAAAACCCTTGTTGGCGAGAAAGTAAATTGGTAGAACTATGATGGAAAACACTGTGAAGGTTCCTCAAAAAATTAAAAATAGGACTGTCGTTTCTATGACAGTATATCCAGCACAGCTACTTCTGTATGTATATCCAAAGGAAACAAAGTCATCATCTCAAAGACATATACACACATTTGTATGTTCATTGCAGCATTATTTATAATAGCAAAAACATAGAAACAACCTAGGATGAATATAGATGAGGTAGTAATACACATGATGAAATATTATTTGGCCATAAAAAAGAAGCAAACCCTGCCATTTGCAGCAATATAGATGGGCCTTGAGGGCATTATGCTAAATGAGATAAGTCAGATAGGAAAAGACAAATAATTCATGATCTCACTTATATGTGGAATCTATAAAAATCAAATTGATAGAAACAGAATAGATTGGTTGTTGCCAGAGATAGACTGTATAAGGTAGAAGAAATGAGTAAAAGTGGTCAAGTGATATAAACTTCTAGTTACAAGGTGATTTTAAGATAGTTCTGAGGATGCAATCTTCAAAGTTCTCATCACAAGAAAAAAAGAAATGTCACCGTGTAAGGTGACCCTTATTGTGGTAATCATTTTTATATATCAGATTGTTTTATTCTGTGCTTTGAAATCATGTTCTGTGTCGGTTATGATAAAACTGAAGGATAAATAACTATCACCCAGAATGGTGGTCTTCAAACAGTGTATGTAGACTCAAGATTCTCTGGTGGCGCTTCATGAGTTCCACTTAAATTTGTTTTCAGTGCACTGATTTACATATCCCTAATTTCAAAACAGCCTTATAATTGTACGGAATGGGTTTTTAAAATACATTATAAATTAGAATCGAAACTAGGTGTTTGGCCCTATCAATTTCTTAGATAAAGAACAGTGTTAAATACACTAAGGGGAAAGTAGACAACCAGATTAGGCCAAGCTGTTTGTGACTGGTAATGGAAATTGTTACTCTAAAGTTTAGGGTAGACTCTTATTGCCCTTCATGTTAATTACTAATGACATATTGCCGTCGTAATTAGGTTCACTGTAACTGATGTAATCTGAAAAAAAAAATTAAGCAATGTGGAATAATCCCCATTTAGCTCATGCATTTTACAAAAGTCATGGTATAATTCCATAAGAACACATAATAAAGTAAATTCCTATAATTTCATGTTATAAAAGCTACTTTGGTATCCATAGTAAGGTTACTTGTTCCTAAAATATTTCTCTCAAATGAAAAGTGAAGAACATGAAGAAGTTGATCATCCCTTAGAGACATGGACTCCCATGTTTGTGTTGCAGGTTTTGGTTGTTTTCTGACTTACTGTCATGAAAAATTCAGGCTTCCCAGGTGACTGGGTGGTGAAGAATCCACCTGCTAAGCAAGAGACGCAGACTGGATCCCTGGGTTGGGAAGATTCTCTGGAGGAGGAAATGGCAACCCACTCCAGTATTCTTTCCTGAAAAAATCCCATTGACAGAGGAGCCTGGTGGGCTACAGTCCATGGGGCCGCATGAGTACTCATGATGAAAAATTAGGGAATGATGTTTTCTAATTTGTTTCTTTTCACTCTTGTGTTTTCATTGCCAAGAATTATGACTTT